AGCCTTGAACTGCAAGTTTCACATAAGTCTTTGCAAAAAGCATCCTCTAATTTGATAAATCCTCCTCTGTCTATGAACATCAGGTATATTCACTCTTGGTCATCCAGGCTCTGGATAAGCATGGATTCACTGCCCTCTGTAAAGGCCCATCTCCCCAGAACTGTGCAGAAATCACCTTCCGTGTAAAGAAAGAAAACGATAAAGGAACTTAAAATTCCTATTTCTTCAAACTTCTACTACCAACATTCTGATTTTTTTCCAGTCAAGTTATATCAAAGCCTGTTCCATAGGAAAGAAAATAGCTGCTTGTACAGTGGTCTCAGGTTTCAGTCAATGTCGGTATTTGAGAACGGGAGAGATTAAGTCACTGAAAAAGACACTGAAGAGAGAAATTTGTGAGGACAGCAAGACTCAAAGAACAGCAGAGATTAATTAAGTTTTCCAGGAATTGACAGCTGTGTTGCCTCTACTGATAAAATATTTTATCCTCAGTAGCCCATGCTTCCATAGCACTAAGAATCTTGTGTAGGCTGTTAAATCCTATTTAAAAAAAGAGAGAAAGAGAAAGCTGCATGGTAGGTTACTGTCTGTCTTCTCTGCATATTGTATATTAAGCACTGCATACAAGAATGTTCTAATAAAGGATACTTTGCACACAAACTTGACAGGTAGATTTTCATGACGAGTTTTGCACAGAGAATTTCTATGGGTTTGTTTTTTTTTTTTTTTAAGAAAAGCATCTATTTTGAAGTTCACATAGAGGATAACAACCTTCTGCTTGTTTCTAAGGCAGGTGTGGGTAACTAACTAAACTGTTACCCCATCGCTCATTAACCAGTGGAAACACTCTTGCAAGTACTTGTGGAAAGAACAACAACAGAGACTTATCATTCAGGTCCAGCTTTCTTAAACAGAACTGAGCTAGGAGATTGGGTTCTTGTATTGCTGTAGAGGTCATGGTTAGAGCTATGGATATCAGAATTGTCTTCCTATTGCCCCGAGTCTAGCTTTTTCCAGCTTTTCGTCAGCTGCTAAAACGCATGCTAAGGGAAAAATGCCATTAAATTTTGCAAATAACAAGATAATCCATTGTTTTCTTTGTTTTTGCAGTGTCTGGATTTTGAAAAACTATTTTCATTTTGCCCTTCTCAAAACAAGCTGACCCAGTTAAAGCAGGATGAGGATGCTGCTTCAGCTTGTCAGGTTCACATCCCTGGTTCAGCTGGAGGTTAAAGAACAAAGAGGCATTGCTTGTCTGCAACCACTGGGCAGGACTCCAGTCGTGAGGGAAGGAGGAGACTGCATTTCTATATTTCTGCAATGAAGTGCTCTTTTTCCTGTTGGAAAACTTGCAAGCTGTAATCAGAAGGTTAGGCTGCGGCAGCAAAACCTTGCCCCTTCTCTCAGTTGAGAGATCATTATAAAGAAATTACAACATGGTAAATCCTTTTTCTTCCTAGGAAAAAAGCTCTGTTAAATATCTATTTTAAAATATTTCTAACACCGGACTTCTGTGAGGATTCAGAAAGGTTTCAGTGTTTTGAATTACTCTTTGTAATAGACCTAATCTTATTAAGCCTTCAAGAGCACCTTTAACTTTAAAAGGAGTAGTCTGTCCCTGGCTTGATGTTGAATACGGTCTTAAGTAAGGACAATCAGTTGTGAATTGCAGCTTCAAGAAGGCTGCTTCAATATTTTGAGTTTTCATCCCCAGAAGTAAGAGTCAGACTTGGGTACAACAGCTCCATTATATGTGTGTTATGTTCTGCATGTTTTTTTTAAAGACCCTCTCAGTTTTGTCTTGGAAAATATTCAACCTACCAGCACTGAAAACACAAAATGCATTTGTAAGTGATAGCTTATACTCTAGTGTTTTGGCTTGAATGCACAGTAGAGAATAAATTATAATAAGCCCTCATACCCCAAGGTGCTGGATTTGGAAGGGAAAGCAGACGAGATTTACAATATTCGGGAACAAAATTGTCTCATGGATAATCATCCATCCCCCATGGCATTATCTTATTGTTGAGAGGCAGTGGTTTTCCTTCTTAAATGATATCTCTGGCAACCTGAATTCAATAGTTATATCTTTGTAATGGTTTTTAAATAAGATCTCTCTGCCCACTTTTTATGTGGGAGTAGTAGAGTAAATGCACTTGAGAAGATGTTGATAGTATACACGTATGTCTTTCAGCTGCTTTAAAAATAAAAGTATGTTAAGGAGAGGATTCCTCTGCAGTATTTCAGTATGACCATACAGTCTCAACAGGCTTTTGCCTTAACATTTTAAATTGTCAATAGACTGATTATTTCAGTACTAAGACATTAATTGATCTATCTTGCCTTAAAGTAAAGCTTGTCAAATTAAAAGTCACTGTAAGGAGTAAAAGCAAGAGAAACTAGGAAAACGGGAATCTAATCTTGCAGACCTCAAAAAAACTAGAAAGTGTTTTAAAAACTGTTTCCTCATTCATATATACATAGTACTTACTCCCTCTTTACCCTCCTTCCTCCAAATTCAAACCTTCCAAGAGGCTTTAGAAGAGTCACAGATCAGTTTTTTCTACTCCTGTCATAAACCATTACCCCTGCAGGTCTTAAAATTTAAAAAATCCAAAGGCTTTTACACAAAGAAAAAAAGTGCATATATTGATTAATTTACATGTAAGATCATGCTAAACTGTTCTAAAAAATGTTACAAACTACCTGCATTTTATGATATAGTATACTAACTTTTTCCCCCCCTCTTCAGCCCTTAACCTCAGTCAAAATTTTCACAGGAAGCCAAAGTTTAATCCCTGTTTTAAAATGGAAAATGGGAAGAACTTTCCTATCATCTAAGCGTTAATTTTAGCAATAGGTATGAAAAACAACCTTTTGAGTATTTTTCATGTTCAATATTAATTGCATCTTAGTTTATTAAAGATTACTTTATGAATTTGAATCAATTCCAGTTAGCTGCAGTGCAGGTCATGCACAAATTGTTAAGAAGTTGAAGCATGTTTGCTGTGAAAGGGAGTGCAAGCATGCCTGTGGATCAGAAAATAGGGTATATGCTATCAAGTATTGGTATGGCATCTCAGTAGTACCAGATCTTGTCTCCTGGTGCTTCTTGCATGATCCCAGACTGCTTTTGGGTATGGCACTAGACAGAAGGAACTATTTTATTTGTACATCCCAAAATACAAGAGAGCTAAATTCAAAGGCCTATTTCCCCCGACATAGTCTGTTGCAGGCAGCCTGTATCTGGCCTACAAGAAGGCATTCCTCAATCCTTTGGCTCCAGAGAGAGATGACACTCTATGCTAAACATTTTTCTCAATGACTTTGCCCAGTGGATCCAGTGCTACAAAACTAGGAGGGTGGGAGGGAGAAGTTTTTTGCCTCACTTCACGTCAGCTGCATACCACCATCACTTTTCTTCCTTCCTCACTCCCATATTTATATTGAAGACCATGAAAAATTTTCTAGTTTACTCGATTTTTTTTCCACAGCATTTAAAAAATATTTTGTGCCACAAAAGGAATGAAATTGTTTCCAAGTGCTTCAAGAGAACTTCTGAAATACTCATATCAGAAAGTATTCATCACATGTGTTTTTATTCTGCAAGTGGGAACAAGCCCTGGAAGTCTCCTTTATGAAGTATATGATCCTGTCAACCAGCAACTCACCTCTGCTCCAGGTACATAGGTGAACCCCTTACTACAGTGGCAAGTCTTTGAAGAAGCTGTTACACAGGTGTGCAAATGTAGGGACATCAAAAGACTTGCTGTTTCCAAGCAGCTGACTACTTCAAAGAGAAGAAATACTTCTTCCCTGCAACATTCTTGCACCTTGAGCCATGTTAACCTCAAATGTATATTATACCCATTTTTATATCTTCCTCACAATTCAATCACACAACAATCTTGCTATTAATTTCTTATGGTGTGGTGCGACCTCAAATATCTTAGGTGTCCTTTCTGATTTCATCACTGACCACTAATTCTGAGCACCCAAAATTAGAAATTTAGCATTAATTATGTGTGTCCGTTGTTAGAAAACTTTCACTTGAGGCATAGAGCAGAGACAGCTAAAAGCATCCATACCAGAGTTCAGTGCAGCCTGCTGCCATCAACCAGATGTTCTTTCAACCACACAAAGACACCCTTAGCATTTTGCGTTTCTCTTGTTAGATGTAAGATGTAACATCCTCTGTGTAATCTTCAGTTGCATACCTACTCACAAGAGAAGATTGAGCATTGCCTAATCCACAATACTGCACAAAGTGT